TTAAGTCAGCCGCTACGCACCTATATCTCGGCCGTAACGTAGTTCGTATCCTATTGCGGCTGAGTTTTATGCCGCATTCTTACGTGGACCCGAACTTTTTGCTTACATGGCATAAAAAAGTAATGGCATTTTTGTAAATATGTTTTTTCTCACAACGTGAAAAAGGGCACGCTGGGTATTAAAAAAAAGGTAGTAATAAAAAAAAGTTTTGTATGGTTGTGATAATAATTAATAAAATTCATATTAGTTGAGTTAACTTCCCTTTTTAAAATATATTCAAAAATATAAAGTTGATAAAATTTTATTTTTGATTGATCATGCATAAAGTGAGTAATTTAATCACTTTATCTAAAATAGTTATAAACTTTAATGGTAAACACTTAACAATATCTGTTTTAAATAAAATAATTACTGTTATATAGTATTATATAGACAGGTACAGTACTTGACACCTAATCTTATTACTTGACACCTAATCTTAGGGCACCCCCATCAATGAACCGATGGGGGGAGATTCATAAAAAAAGAAAATTATTATTTTTTTTTTTTCGGTTGGTTATTTAAAAAAAAAAATTAATGGACCAATCGCGTGCCACCACGTGTTAGTGGGGCCCGCGAATAGTGTTGATACGGGTTCAGTGGGGTGAACTTATGTGACACGGGTTCATGAGCAGCAGATTAATATATTAATTTTTTTTTTTTGGTATTTGTGTGACCCCCTCCTTACAACTCTCGATGCAGTTGCTTTTATATATTAAAAACCAATTAGACAGGTACTTGATACCTAATTTCAATTATACATGGGCTCTTAGAATCCTGAAAGGTTATATCTGTTATTATTACAATGGATTAAAGTTAATTTCTCGTACCTATAAATACGGATATCATGAGAATCGAACTGAATAATTACTAAAGTGATTAGAAAAACCCAGCATGGAAGATCAGAAGATGAAGCTCCACTGTGGCCTTACCACTTCTAATTTGGCAGCTAAGTTTGGCCTCCATGAAAAAGGTCTTGACTTCGAACTTGTGTTCGTAGATTGGGTTGCTGGTGAAGCCAAAACCAAAGCTTTTCTCTCTAATCTCAACGTACAGTTCTCCAAACTCTTGACTACATATATATCTTTGATATTTTTAGTCTTCCATTGATGACTACATATATTGTAGTTGTATGACTATCCTTTTCAGCCATTTGGTCAAGTCCCGGTTCTTGAAGATGGGGATCTTAAACTTTTTGGTATGAATCAGGTCTTATCATTTGATTGGTGATAAATTATCACTAGGAACAACTTTATTTACTGATGATAAATTATTCACTATGTATAAACAAACAACCTCTAGCTAATAGTCTAAATTAGCTATTACGAGGTTTTGTATATATATAAAAGAATATATATATATATATATATATATATATATAAATTTTTTTTTGAAAACTTGTGTATATATATGTATTGGTGGAACTATACACACGTTTTGTATACAGTATTAGATGAATTTTGTTTATTTTACGTAAAGAAGCATCTAATAGATCTATAATTGTTCAAATCATGATTGACCACTATCGATGCTTTACGTACCAAAAACTATACAGTATTAGATGAATTTTGTTATCTTTTGACGTGTTTTTTTTTTTAAAAAAAAATTGCCTATAGAATCAAAGGCGATCACGCGATACCTAGCGGAACAATACAAAGACGTTGGAACAGACTTACTACCAAATGATCCCAAAGAGAGAGCAATTGTATCGATGTGGATGGAAATAGATACAAATCAGTTTCACCCTTTTGCATCAACTCTCATCAGAGAGCTCATCATAAAACCATATCAAGGCTTAGCCACTGACTTTACATCGGTTCAAAATAGCAAAGTAAAGTTATCAGAAGTTCTAAACATCTACGAGGCTCGTTTAGCTGAGTCTTCTTACTTGGCCGGAGAAAGCTTCAGTTTAGCAGATCTTCATCATCTTCCACCCATTCACTACATGTTGAGGATGGAAGAAGAAGGCGTTAAAGACTTGATATATTCACGTCCCAATATAACCGCATGGGTTGAGAAGATGAAGTCTAGACCTGCTTGGCTAAAAACAGTCGTCAAAGGCGATCACATCTTTGAGTTGACGAAGCAACGTCGTCTGCCTATAAAGTTTGATGCGTCATGTCACGAGTTAACCTCTGTGGCTCAGACAACTACGATGGTAACTGGGAACAATTAAGTAACCATTAAGTCATCATGCATGGTCCATTGTATGATCCATTATGTTTGTTTTCTTTTTATCCCAAAATATCATCATGTATGCATGGTCCATTGTATGATCCATTATGTTTGTTTTCTTTGTATCCCAAAGTATCATCATGTATGCATGGTCCATTGTATGATCCATTATGTTTGTTTTTTCTTTTTATCTCAAAATATCATCATGTATGCATGGTCCATTAATGTATATGATCCATTATGTTTGTTTTCTTTTTATCCCAAAATATCATCATGTATGCATGGTCCATTGTATGATCCACTATGTGTGTTTTCTTTTAATTCAAAAAAAATCATCATGCCTTTGTGTGTTTGTACTAAAAATAATAATTCACCTTGCGATAGAAAGTTTTTATTATTATCGTTATGTTATATTTGGGAAGTATGTAATTATTGTGAAATATAATTCCAAGAATGGCTTACTAAGAGGTTGATTGTTTGCTGATTTTCAAATAGATTTTGGTTTTTGCAAACTTTACGTTTTGCACAATAAAGATTTTGGTAAAATGGATTTCTTATTTCTTAGGGAAACCAGATTTGTTTTTTTTTTTTGCCATTTCACATAAAGAAACCAAAATTCAGATTTTACGGGTTTCTAATGCATCCCACGACTAATTCTTTTTCTTTTAACAATTATTTATTTTACACATATAAAACTACATCAACCAAAAGCAGAAAACAGGAAATATGTATTATTTTCTAAAATTATAACTACTAATAACATTATTTATTTCAAAGGAAATAATAAAATGAGTTAAACAAAATAATAACAGAAAATATTAATTAAAATCATATAGCAATAAAAAGACTTAAGAATGTTCATTCCAATTCATATTTGCAACCATAAATACAAATTTGAAATTTACAAAAAGAAAACGTAACTTAACAATTGACACTACTATTTGATATTTATATTTTTTTCAGTTTCATAAAAAATGCAAAATTTGTGGGTTTAAAATCGTAAATATATTTTTAAAATTTTGAAAAAAAAACTACTAACGTAACTTGTATTGAAACTATGTTTGATTTTTTCGTAAATTTCATATTAATAATGTTAAATTTGTGGTTATTAAACCACACAGAAAATATTGATATTAAAAATAGAAAATATTTAGCGTATCTCAGATTTTTTGTCAGCTTCTTTCTAGACAGAAAGTAATTAATATTCTAGCTCAACTTCTAAAACATGGATTTTCCTTTGTTACTGCATTAAGTTTTAAGTTATCAAATTAACAAAGGGTGTAACTCAAAGACAACACATACTAATTCAATCTTAAAAAGAATATATATATTTAGTGCATAATTGATAACATTTTGAGTTATCAATGATGTAAACCCCTAACTCAAACAAAACCTAGTGCATGTTAACAAATTCTAATTAATTGCAGTGAATTGTTGTACAAAAAAAATAGCAAATTCTAAGCTACACATCTTGTTCTTCAAAATTTAAACAATTTTTTAAATGAACACAAATTAATCTACATAAACAATAGTGACAGAGTGAAGTTAAATCTACAAATAGATTCTGATAAGCACAGTCATGCGGAATTATGTTTATCTGTTTTTTTAACGAACCTTGCATTACTTAGACAATAAAACATTGTCTAGCCTACAAGTGTGATTTGAGATCGCTTGGAGAGCTGACTTAGCCAACGAGTTAGCTACACCATTACAAAGGTAAGAAATAAATGTGAAAAGAGATACAGTAAAAGCTTAATAAACTAATAATGTTAGAATTTTGAATTTTTATTAATTTATAGTCATTAATTTATAAAAAGAAATCTTTTTAAAATTTCTCTAGTTTTAGAATATGTATTTTATAAAATAAGAAAATAGTTTATTTTGTCTACTAAGTTTTAGAAATTTGACATTTATATCGGTTTGCTAATGTAGTTTTAGCTATAATTTTACTAAGTATTATTATAATTTATTGAAGTACTAAAAAAATTGAGATGAATTTCATTGTGAAGTAAAACAATATTACAATATTTTGTTTTACACTTATATGAATCTTATATATGTAAAATATAAATTTGTGATTTCAGAAGGACTATTTATTTACAAAAGATTTTCTAAAAGTTATTATTTTATCGATTTATGTCATCTTTTAAATTGATCAAAAGAAATTTATTAATTTAGTATGTTTATTTATTTATAGAGTTTTTACCGTAGAATCAAATGAAACACAAAGAACATAGATGTCAGTATATTGATGAGTGTGATTATCTCAAAGAACACAAAATTAAGTTTTTCTCACGTGCATAAAACTTAAGATTCAATATTCTTTTATTCATTATAAATGTTATTTTAGAGTTGTGAATACAAATTAAATAAATAATTAATTTTATTTATTTTCTATATAAAACACAATTACATATATACCTAATTACATTTTAACCAATAGAAAAACAAATTATATAATAAAGTTAATAAGTTTTGCATAAAAAAAAACTCAAAACGACATTAATTTTATAACGAAACAATTTCTCTACAACGACAGTTAATATGAAACGGAAGGAATATAATACTAAAAATTTAATATTCACTTATTTTTAATTCGTTTAAATTAACGATACAAATCAATGAGACAGTTACGTGATACCTAATTTCGATTATACATGACTCTTAGAATCTCGAAAGGTTATTTATCTGCTACTGATATATTCTTGCAAAGCTAATGGTATATTAGTTTCTTTCACCTATAAATATTGAGATCATGAGAGTCGAACTGAATCACTACTAAAGTGAATAGACAAAGAAACCAGCTTGGAACATCCGAAGATGAAGCTCCACTGTGGCCTTACCGCTGAAAATTTGGCAGCTAAGTTTGGTCTCCATGAAAAAGGTCTTGACTTCGAAGTTGTCTTCGTAGATTGGGTTGCTGGTGAATCCAAAACAAAAGCCTTTCTTGCTAATTTCAACGTAAACCTCTCCAAATCATTGACATTTTATATCTTTAATTTATGACTTACATAAATTTTGTTTGTATATAGTCATCTTTTTCAGCCATTTGGTCAAGTCCCGGTTCTTGAAGATGGGGATCTTAAACTTTTTGGTATTGCAAGTTCATTTATGTTTTATATTGATTGGTGATAAATGATCACTACCATTTATTATAAACTATCCACTAGAACCAAATTGTAATGAAACTTTAATAATCCAAATTAGCCACTATTTTGTATATATAGTGGGAAAAAGATGAAACCTTAATCACATATATTAAGATGAATCAATGGATATATAGTAAGTGAATAGATGAATGACTCATCATAATTGACCATTATGGGTAAGAAAAATTATTCATTGTTCTTTTATGGTGATGAATTTAGAAAGTTTAACGTGCTTTAATTTTTTCTGTAGAATCAAAGGCGATCACGCGATACCTAGCCGAACAATACAGAGACGTTGGAACTGACTTACTACCAAATGACCCCAAAGAGAGAGCAATCATGTCGATGTGGATGGAAATAAATACAAATCAGTTTCATCCTTTCGCATCAACCCTCATCAGAGAGCTCATCATAAAACCATATCAAGGCTTAGCCACTGACTTTACATCGGTTCAAGAAAGCGAAATGAAGTTATCAGAAGTCTTAAACATCTACGAGGCTCGTTTAGGTGAGTTTCCTTACTTGGCCGGAGAAAGCTTCAGTTTAGCAGATCTTCATCATCTTCCACCCATTCACTACATGTTGAGGATGGAAGAAGAAGGAGTGAAAGACTTGATATATTCACGTCCCAATATAACCGCATGGGTTGAGAAGATGAAGTCCAGACCCGCTTGGCTAAAAACAGTCGTCAAAGGCGATCACATCTTTGAATTGACGAAGCAACGTCGTCTGCCTATACAGTTTGATGCGTCATGTCACGAGTTAACCTCTGTGGCTCAGACAACTACGATGGTGACTGGGAACAATTAAGTAACCATTAAGTCATCATGCATGGTCCATTGTATAATCCATTATGTGTGTTTTCTTTTTATCCCAAAATATCATCATGTATGCATGGTCCATTGTATGATCTAGGGATGTTAAGATGAGTTTATTTTCGTGGGTTTTAAATGGGTTCTGGAAAAAATAAATGTCCATTTAGACCATTTAACTAGTCGGATTTTAAATGGGTAACCCAATTAAAACCCATTTATTAAATGGGTTTTGTCTAAAATAATCGGGGACCCGTTTAACCCATTTATATTTTTTAGTAACTTAAATTTAGTCCATTTGTTTTTTTCTCGCCAAAACCAAAAAATAAAGTTTTTCTCGCCAAAACCAAAATTTAGATTTTACGCCAAAAACGTCATTTCTCGGTTTTGGCGGGAAAATGTAATTTCTCAATTTTGGCGGGAAAACGTAATTTCTCAGTTTTGGCGGGAAAGAGTAATTTCTCGGTTTTGGCGGGAAAACGTAATTTCTCGGTTTTGCCGGGAAAACGTAATTTCTCGGTTTTGCCGGGAAAACATGATTTCTCGGTTTTGGCGGGAAAACGTAATTTCTCGGTTTTGGCGGGAAAGCGTAATTTTAATTGGAAACAGAAAATTAGAATAAAAAGTCAAGAACAGTTTAAATGGGTCTAAACGGGTTTAAATGGGTTAGAGTAAAATAACTACATTTAAATGGGTAGCCCTAATAGACCTATTTTTAAACAGGTCTAAATGGGTATGGGTTCTAAATGGGGTGGGTCTTAAATGGGGTGGGTTTAAATGTGGTGGGTTTTACCATATTAACGTCCCTAGTATGATCCATTATGTGTGTTTTCTTTGTATCCCAAAATATCATCATGTATGTATGGTCCATTGTATAATCCATTATGTTTGTTTTCTTTTTATCTCAAAATATCATCATGTATGCATGGTCCATTAATGTATATGATCCACTATGTGTGTTTTCTTTTAGTTCAAAAAAATCATCACGCATTCGTGTGTTTGTACTAAAAATAATAATTCACCTTGCGATAGAAAGTTTTTATTATTATCGTTATGTTATATTTGGGAAGTATGTAATTATTGTGAAATATAATTCCAAGAATGGCTTACTAAGAGGTTGATTGTTTGCTGATTCTCAAATAGATTTTGGTTTTTGCACAATCAAGATTTTGGTAAAATGGATTTCTTATTTCTTAGGGAAACCAGATTTTTTTTTTTTTTTTTTGCCATTTCACATATAGAAACCAAAATTCAGATTTTACGGGTTTCTAATGCATCCACGACTAATTCTTTTTCTTTTAACAATTATTTATTTTACACATATAAAACTACATCAACCAAAAGCCTTTTGCCTAAGATCAAGTGTAAGTGTAGTTTCTTTTCTTATCAGTCTAATATTCTCATATGTTTAAAAAAGGTTTCAAAAAAAAAACTACATCAACCATTGTATAAAACAAACACAAACTCACAAAAACTAATCTTCTCTACGTATCAAACTATTAGAGTTTTGTTTATCAAAATAAATTCCATAATATTTAATCCATATTTTATATCATAAATCTTACGTAGAATCATTTTTATACTAATTTTATAAATTAAATACATATATTAGATTTTGACCCGTTCTTTCTAAGCACATAATACTTTCATATAAAAATTTAATAAGAAATACATCATAAGCTATCCTTTTTATAAGAGATATTAAAATCTGTCTCATTTGAACCGTCTCATTTTTTATTGACTCCATTTCAATCATGAACCCGTTTTGAGGAGCTAAGCAACATGTGTTCAAAACAACTCTTATACACTATCTCTTTGTGGCCAAGTGGATATGAGACCACATTTTGAGACTCATTTAAATACTCGTAGAAAGAGTTAGTTTGTGAATTGCATCTTCTGTTATAGATTAGTTTAGATCATTCCATATGTTCGTGAATTGCATCTTCTGTTCTCCAAGAAAGACTCATTTAAATACTCGGAGAAAGATCATATTTTATTTGTGAATTTTATCTGAATCATTCCATATGTCTGAGACACCTACATGTTAACTAAAACAATATCATGAACCTGTTTTGACCCATTTAATTTTAAGATCTAATAATCTCTTCATTTAGATCTGCAATACTCAATTGACCCATTTAGATTTATTTAAAGTATTTTGAATGAAGTTTCAAATTTTTTTTTCAAAATTGATGATATATTTAAAGGGACTTTTTTTTAAAAAAAAAAAAAGAATTGTTTAATTTAAGTTTCCAAAATATAAAAATTGATTCTTTAAAAATATGTTAGAAACCAAAGTCGATGTAATTCATGAATAAGAATGTATGTATAAGAATGTTAATATGTATAAAGTTTTCACGCATAGTAAGTTATGATGAATTGAAAAGAGGCCCACATTAACAATTTGCTACTACTGAATACATCAAATATTGTTAGCATAAAAATGTATTACTTTTGTAGACAAAAATACAAATTGTTTTTGGTTATTTCCCGGTGGCTAAGTAGTTCACCAAATCAGCATACTAAGGCTCTTTCTCTTTGGTTGCCTTAACCTATTCATTCTTTCCAGTTTCACAAAGTCTCACAACTCCTCTAATGGCCATAATCTGTTCCTCTGGAAGACCTTCATCAATAGGAATACCACACTCCACTCTCATCCTGGATAGATGATCAGCTACACCATTCTCAACTCCTAGTTTGTCCTTGATCTCTAAATCAAACTCTTGTAGCAGCAATATCCACCTCAACAGTCTTGGTTTAGCATCTTTCTTAGCCAAAAGGTGTCTTAAAGCTGCATGATCAGTGTAGACAATGACTTTGGAGCCGACCAAGTAGCTTCTAAACTTCTCAAAAGCAAATACTATGGCAAGAAGCTCCTTTTCAGTTGTTGCATACTTCATTTGAGCTTCATCAATTGTCCTACTAGCATAGTATATCACATGTGTCTTCTTGTCTTTCTTTTGACCTAAAACTGCTCCCACAGCATAGTCACTAGCATCACACATGATCTCAAAAGGAAGGTCCCAATCTGGTGGTTGAACAATGGGAGCACTAATGAGCTCACTCTTCAGCTTCTTAAAGGCTTCAAGACACTCTTCATCAAAGCTAAAGGTAGCTTCCTTGCACAGCAGCTTGGTTAAAGGTCTAGCAATCTTACAGAAGTCCTTGATGAACCTTCTATAGAACCCAGCATGACCAAGGAAGCTCCTAATGTCCTTGACTGTCTTTGGTGGAGCCAACCCAACCATCACATCAATCTTGGCCTTGTCCACCTCAATACCCTTCTCTGAGATCTTGTGCCCCAATACAATCCCTTCATTCACCATGAAATGGCACTTCTCCTAGTTAAGAACGAGGTTTGTATCTTCACATCGTTGTAAGACCCTGCATAGATTAGACAAACAAGCGAGAAAGAAGATCCGTACACCGAGAAATCATCCATAAATACCTCTACCACATCCTCAATTAGATCAGAGAAGATTGACATCATGCACCTTTGAAAGGTAGCTGGAGCATTACACAACCCGAATGGCATCCTTCGATAAGCAAAGGTACCATAAGGGCATGTGAAATTTGTCCTCTCTTGATCATTTGGATGTATGGGGATTTGGAAGAATCCCGAGTACCCGTCAAGAAAGCAATAATAAGGATGGTTTGCAAGTCTCTCTAGCATTTGATCAATGAAAGGTAATGGAAAATGATATTGACTAATATCATATGAGAACTCGTGATTTATAAACATCTTTTATACATAATTTATTTACTTGAAACATCTTACAAAGTGTTATAGTTTTATCCTACGGCCTATCGCCCAACAACGTTTTAAGTAAACATACATCAAAAGGTACGTTGCAAGGACAACAAAATACTACCGCTGGTTGGCCGTTCCTTCCGTCTGAAAGTAGAGAAATCCCGACTAGTGGTTACATGCACACAAAACAATGAGTCCTGAGTAACTAGTTTACCTAGTGAATCTAGATCACTAAACAATCAATAATAAACCAAATAATCAACACAAGCATAAACATGAAAATGAAAGGTTTAGTAACATACTTAAATGTATTCCTTATCAATGTGAATCTCGTTTTATTTATCACTTTCTTATTACCCACTCATCATCACTTAATTATAATTACAATATATATATATACTAAACTCGATAAACCACAAAGGCTAACCAAGCTTAGAGAGTTAGCATTACCATCATCCTCGAACATTCAAATAAACATTCGAGACTGCATCTCCATGCAGCACACGGCCTCCAGGATGATACCCCATCATCGTGTCTTCATGACCTTGTTCCATTTGCAGGACCAAGTCATGGTAATGCGGGAGTTTAGGGATAGTGATTGTATAATGGATTTAGCACTTGATTTTTCATATCTTATTACTTCATAATTAATTCTTACATGCTTTATAAATATATTTAGTACATGAGCACAAGTACTAAGATGTGGCTTAACCTCAATGTATACTTCAAAATATTTCTTTAAGTGTTAAGTGTTTACACTTAAGTAAACACCACACCATTCATATAAATTTTAGAGACTTTACTACTTATCCGAGTAATCCATTATCATTCAATCAAACACTCAGTTGTGGTCTATCATCACATCCATCTAAACTCACCTAAAGATTTTTCTTGAAACTGGCTTGGAAAAGGCTTGGGTCGCTCTTGAACAAGGCTGGAAAGACCTGAGAAAATACAGTTCCGATCATGATCAACATTTCACAAAAACTCGGTTTTGAAGAGGAATTTAAATAAGATCTAATCAGCTCGGTTCAGGACAAAGCTTGGCAGTTCAGATCAGCTCAGACTAGACGGAGATATGACAAGCTCGGATCCTAGACAACTCGGCTTAGATCAGTTCAAGACAAGATAATTCTGTTTGGTTCAGAACATTAATATCTCAGCAGTTTGGTACAAGCTCTAAACTTAAATCAATTTGGTTCCAGCTAGGTTCTTTCATCCTATATCAGGTCAGTTCAGCTCTAAACAATTCACAACAGTTCATGACAGGACCAAGCTAGGTTAAGTTCGGTTTAAACTTCAATCAGTCCATAACAACTAGCTAGCTGTTTTTAAAGATTGATTCCAAACCAAAACTAAACTAAAACTGAATCCCTTAACACTTAGTGAACTGATCCAACAAATACATGAGCTAAACAACCAGTAGTTCTAATCAATACTGGTCTGTGGCAAGATGATGAAGCTTACCCCAAAATCAAAACCGATCGATGGTCTCCAACAGATCTCTCCTTCAAATTTAGCTTGCGGCTGGATTGATTTAAAGAGAAAGATCAAGGTTTAGTCAAGCTCTAAACTGAACTATATCTAGGGTTTAATCTAAATCAAATATCTCACATTGTTATGTATCCCACGAACTAGCTGAGACTTGATCAAGATTGAATCACCAAAACTTCACTGATTTTCTCGTAGCTTTTCTCTTCTTCTTTCTCGCTTCACTTCTCTGATTTTTCTCTTCTTTTTTTTTTGCAGAGTTATGGACGTGGGAAGCAGCTGAAGAAGGGGATAAATAAGAAAGGAGCTTGCTTCAAGTAAGGGTTTACCTTCTGAATAAAGTTTGGCTGAGTGTAGACAGCTGTCCAGCTGCTTCAGCACTCACAGCAAAAGCTGCTGTCCTTTCCTCACCATGAAGAAATCTCCAGCCCTTTCATGTGTTTCTCACATGAAAATTTAAGAAACCAAGCAAGCAGGCAGCTTGTGATTTTCATGTGATGGCTACTGAAGAAGCTAGACAAGCAGGCAGGTCCATAACTTATGGTTTAATACTGAGCAACCAGGCTGGTGGAGGACATAGTTCACTTTCGATAATATTTAGGAAGTTGGTTGATAATTTTAAATATTTTTTCAACCAAAAATTCCTTGTCTTGGGCTCTCATCTTTCTCTTGGTAAATCTCGTCCAGCTTAATAAAAATTCAACCATAATATTTAAGACTCAACCAAACTATCAAAGTAAGGTCTTTCGACCACAAGACAGTCCCGTCGAGAAATTAATTAACCGAGTCGATTTTTATTTTTAATTCTGATCGATTAAACTTGAATCTGATTTTTCAAACTTTTCTCGACCAAAATTATATCCACTCGTGAGTGTCATTAAAGGGAGGCTTTGATAACATTGAGATACGAGAGGCTGTTTGGATATTGCGGGACTTTCTCAAGTCTTTCTCATGGTGTGGAACATTTCCCTTTAAATACGAGGAGTCTGCAAAGATGCCACTCACCAGACAAGGAGATAGAGCTCGCAGTTATAAAAGTATTGTCATTAATGGAGAGGGTGGTAGACATGGTTGGGGCAAGAATATAAAGATTATGTGGAAAAGGGGAAGGGAAGATGTATGAGGAGAATGAGACACAATCACCAATCTCACCGCAACAGTCATAGGAGCTCTCATTTTGATCGGTCTAGAGATTATCTATTGGAGGAGCGAAGCAGATCATCCCAAGGCACGAGACGTGGGGAGTTTTGTGAGGAGGGAGAGTTTCACCATCAGAAACAAAAGATAACTTAATGCAGTGATCATTTGAACCGCTCTCAGTCACAAGACAAACCGGTGAATCCAATGATCATCCTCACTGATGCTAGGAAGGTAATTTTGAACCCAAAGAATGGGGAAAATGGGATTGATGTGGTTAATGCTGCTTTAGTATGTGATGGGAATAAAAATATTAGGAAAATTTAATGGAGTTAGATGGCAATGGACATGGTGTGGTAGAGAATGTAGATGTGGCTAGTGAAGATGATGGTTTTTAGGATTTAACTGATGAGGATATAGAAGGGAATAAGGATACAGTTCAGAAAGGGTTGAGTGATATTAACTTGGATGAAGTTCCAATCGGAGACTTGGAGGAAAAGGGAACGTCATGGGAGATGGAGACAAGAAGAAGGGGGTGAGGAAGTGTTTATTTAAGTCATCTTCTGTGGCGGGGGCGTCTTCTAAATCAAGGATGGTGCAAGCTCTCATTGCTACTCGCAAGCGTACGATCAACAAACCGGCATCTCATCAAGGAGAAGTAGCAAAACAGAAGGAGGAGAAGGGTCCATCAAACCCAAAGACTATCTCTTCCAAGCTTTAGAAGATTTTTATGAAGATACAAGCATTGGAGGAGTGTTGCGAGCTCCTGGTGCCATTTGGTTTTATCGTTTTGTTTCTTTTAATAAGCTCTTAGAGCATTATTTTTTCGAGTTTTATTTCTAGTGTTGGCTTTGATTGTGTGCAGAGTCTTGTTGTTTTATTGTGCTCTCTAAGATCGTGTTGTGAGATCTTAATTTGGAATAATACTGGTTTTTTAGTTACTGGTGGTGTGATGGGAGAACTAATGTGTTCTTTGGTATTGTTGTTTTAGTTTCATGGCAACCACGGCCTAAGCGTGATGGAGGTTTTTGTTTTAAGGCACTTCAGGTGGTTGGTCTTTTAAACCAAAATAAATTGGATACATATGATGGATGGGTTCCATGGTGTTATGTTTTCTCGGCGGTGTCTCGACTTGGTTATTGGGTCAGACTAACCGATTGATATCAAGTTGGTGGGATGATACTACTGGCATAGTAAAGCAATATACATGCTGCTCTTGCGGGGGTTTTTACTAATTTTGTGTATTACATCTCATGGCAGGACGGTTTTGACATGGTGTAGGTTTGGTTTCTTTGGTATTTGGTGGTTAAGGTATCTAAATGACATGGGACCAGTAGGAAGATGGCGGGGGTGGTCATCACTAAGCCGGCACGAGACTCTCCGTGGATCAACTTATAGTGTAGCTAAGTAATGATTTTAAAAGGCAGTAGAAGGATGCCTCAGCTGATGGGAAGGAGGTTTCCAAATGAGAAATGTGTTCAACTGTATATGCTAATATTGAGTGTGAATTTTGGAGATAGGGAACATCCTGGTTAAACAGGCTACAAACCTCAGGGTTGGGAATGAGTGTAATAGAGTGTATTCATGGATCATGGTTGACAGGGTTTACGGCGGTGGGGAAAAGGATCATTTGGTGGATTTTTATAATTTCTAAGGTCTACTATTGTTCCATCATGTATGATTTATTAAGGAAAATGGTTATGCGGAGATCCAGGTTTCATCATACATTTTATTATGGGCTCTAGAGAATCTTTTTAAATTTTTATGAAAGTACCAAGCTGGAATTGTAGAGGAACGGGAAGTAAATGGGCAATTAGCTATCTAAGGAAAATATGGCACAAACATGAACCCGATTTTCTGTTTTTATCAGAAATAAAACAAGATTATGATTTTGTACAAGGGTTTGAAGCACATTTTGAATATGATAATTTGGTTACGGTGGATCCAGTTGGCAGGAGTGGGGTATCTCTCTTTACTACAACAATGAGTATCAAGTAAATATTTTATACTCAAGTAATCGGATGATTGATGTGGAGCAGTGGCGATTGCGAAAAATGGTTTTTCTAATTTTTGTGTATAGAGATCCGGCACAAGACATACGGGGGAACGATTAACTTGTTATGGTCTAGCAAGATCAGAACCTTGGTTTATTATCGGCTATTTAAATGAGATTACCAGAAATCATGAAAAAGAAGGGGGTGTATTAAGCAGATTCGAAATAGTGGGTTACTTGAGTTCCCGGCTCGAGGAAATAAAATTTCATGGCAAGGACGTAGAGGGAAAGGAAAAGGAGCCGTGATGATAAGATGTCGTCTCGACTGAGCACTAGGAAACGAAGAAGGGCATACAATATTCATGTGTTCCTATACAGATTACTTGGGGATGGTTGACTTGGATCATCGTCCAGTAGTTGCATACAAGGAGGATACATTTTATAAAAGGAGAGGGCAATTTAGATTTGGTAAAAGATGGATTGAGCAGGGGGCTTTATGGAATAAACTGTTGCTGACTGGACAGAAGAAAATAATGGCTAGATGGGTGGTTTGGTCACAAATATTAATAATTGCCGGCATGAGATATAAAGGTGGAGGATAAACAATCCATCATATGGAAAGGAGAAAATTCAAGACCTCCAAAGGGCTCTTGAAGAGGTACAGATGAATGATAAAAGGACACAAGAGGCATTTTGGAAATGTCTAGGAAATTATAGGATGCATACAAGGATGAAGAGGATTATTGGTAACAAAAGAGCCATAATATGTGGTACTCTTCAGTAGATCTTAACACCAAGTTTTATCATGCTTTAACAAAATAAAGACGGGTGCGTAACAGAATAGTCGGACTTCATGATGATGCCGAAAATTGGATAATAGAGGAAAATGGGGTGGAACAAGTAGCAATGGACTATTTATTTTGAAGAGTTATTTACTTCTACTTCCCCATCTGAGTTTGATAGCTTCCTAGAGGAAATTCCCTCAAATATCACAACTCAAATGAATCAAAGGTTGTTAAGGACGGCCACGGAGGAGGAGGTTAAACAAGCTTTATTTATGATGCATCCAGAGAAGACACCAGGACATGACGGAATGACAGCGCTTTTTTCCAGCACTCTAGGCATATTATTAAAAAGGATTTGGTGGAGATGGTGAATTATCTTTTGGTTTCAAGAGTATTGGATGCTCGTTTAAATATTACTCATATTTGTATGATCCCGAAGACGGAGAGACCCACAAGGATGGCAGAGCTGAGACCGATAAGTCTTTGTAACGTTGGATATAAGATCATCTCAAAAGTATTATGTCAACGGCTGAAAATCTTTTGCCCAGACTAATCTCGGAAACCCAATCGACCTTTATCTCAGGAAGGTTAATTTCGGATAATATTCTAACTGTCCAGGAGATGTTTCATGGCTACAGAGCCAATAAATCCTGCTAGGGAAAGTTTATAGCGAAAAAACAAACATGAGTAAAGCATATGATAGAAAACCATTGGGATCTATGGCTTCCAAGAGATGTCATATGGTAGATTAATTGACCTCGATGTATTTAGAGCATTTCCAAAAGACACTCTATATAGCTTCAAATATTAAGTTTTTGCCTCTCCAAAAAGGAACTCTGGAATTTCAAATTTGAAGTTTTGAGTAGTGAAACTTCAAATATAGAGTGTCTCTATCAAAACTTCAAAGAAGTTCCATATTTTATTTGTATTTTGGTCCTTACAATTACACATCATATTTATAATAATTTTAAATATTTTAGTATTTATCGTTTTAATCCTTTAAATTCTTATTTCATAAATAATTCAAAATTATTTTTATAAATTTAAATTTTATATATGTTTTAAAAACATCAAGATAATATTTAAAATATTTTAAAACTAGAACTAGACAACGACAATATTACATGATATAATGTGGTATTTTGTTTGTACTTTAAATTTAATTATATAATTCTATTTATAATTTTATATTTTAGTGTAACGTTTTATCAAATAATATTTCTATAAAAAATTTATACATGTGATAGTTATTTATAAAATTTCTATAAATTTGAATTAGTTATGACAAATATAAGGACCATTATATAAAATACAAATAGTTTTGAAGTTTTGTTTTTAGAGTACAATACCTTCAAACTTCAAATATAGAGTTTTGCAAACTCTATAATAGAGTCATTTTGGAGATGCTAGTAGAATGGTTTAGGAAAACTTTCAAACGACATTTTTTTAAGCCAATCAATTTATTGTAATTATTATGGAAAAGTTAGGGTTAAATACTAAATGTATTTATGTTTTAATAGTTTAGATAGGCGAAACCATTTTTCATTGAAATCAAGCCGGAGAATACCAACCGAAACTGAGAAACATTAGTCTTTCCCTCACTACAAACTAAAAAAGAGCAAATTTTAAGTAGTTTTTTTTTATATAATTGTGAGATTCCAAAAGTTTTTTAGACCAAAGACTAATTCTACTGAAACCTATAAAAACCTGGATTTCTTACTATTTAAGGTGTCCATGTGTGGTCAATGCTGATCGAACCTAGGGTGAAAATCCAACTGAGGTCCCTTTATCACTAGAAAGCTTAGTTATTTCAGAGTAGTTATGGTGTCCATACAATTGAAAAAAAATTAATGAATGTACATTATCCATGGAGTAAGATTAATCTACAACATTCATAGAGTTGGTGTAGAAATCAAATTAAGCGGTAATAAGATGCATACCTAAAATAAATATAATAGTTCTAACAAAGTTCTAAGAATATAAAATTAAAAAAACATACATTTTAATATTGAGCATGTTGGTTTATCCCCTTTTTTGTGTGTCAACGGTTTAATTTTTGTGTTTTCAAGTGTCAACGATTTATCGTTTTATCCTTTTGGACTGAAGTTTGAAGAAACAAAATCGTCCGAGAGCCCACAAAACAGAGGAATATTCTTATGTGGCCACGTCACTCCAAAAGTGTTCAGACTTTCACTCTACTATTACTACTGTGCACCCGCACACATGGGATAACCCCATCCGTAAACTCCGAAACGAACCGTTGAGAGAAAAGAGTAACATGATCTTTTGTAACGGCTACTTCCCCATTTGTATATTTCCCCCAAAACCTCAAAAAAAAACAAAAAAAAAGAACAGACACCAAGAAATTGTTTCCTTCTTCTCCCTCTCGAATCAAAATTCTCTACGCAATATTCGCGCTTCTCTGAATCTTTCTTCGCTGTAATCAATCCGAGGAGATGATCAAAGCCGCCATGGATCTCGGTTGCTTGGACTTGGGATGCCTTTCAGTCTCTGAAAAGAGAACAGCCGCCGCCGATCCTCTTCATTTTTCGTCTTCCCCTTCGAACTCTGGGCAGGTAAACGTCTGGTTTCGATTCGAGATCTCGAGTTACATCGGATTGAAGTTTCTTCCCGTCGAGGCTTTGTAATTTCAGGCTTATCGCTGTGGAATCGAATGTACCTAGGTTTTTAGGCTTGGTTTGAGTTCTAGAAATTAGGTTTTAGTACTTTTAGGCTTATCGTTACGGTGCGGAATCGAATCGGATCAAGGCCTTTTGGTTCAGTAATTGCTATCTTCACTGTTTGAATTGACTATTTAGTGTTAAAAACCTCTGTTTAAGTATGTCCATTTTATACATCTCTGATGGAATGCAGAAAAAATCACCAAGAGAGACGTCATCAGCTCTTAGAAAATCACAATCGAAGAGGTCTTCTCAACGTAAA